TGTTTGATAAAGAGATTAAGCTAAGAAATTACTCATTAAATTAAATTTAAAATATGGTTGCAAATAAACTTTTTTCAAAGGGACTATTGGACTATTTTTTTATCGGCACAGACTATAGTTTACCCAGCCACTGTATATGTTTAAAAAGAATTACAACCGAATCACACTTTAAGGAACTTAACTATAATTTGAAATTCTTACATAGATCGACTAGGATACTTGAAACTTAAAAATATATGATATACTATAAAGAAATAAACTCAGATTAAAATTGATTTATTGTGTGATCCACAGCCCGTTAAAGTTCAAAGCGTTAAACGCTTTTCATTTTGGGGTCATTTTGCACAATTAAAATGATTATTCTGGACAAAGATCGAGCGAATTACCTAAAATATTGCACACATGTTATTAGTCTTGATGAATTACAAAATACACCAGAGGAGTCCCTTTATAGCTTCATGCTCCAGATGAGCCAAAATATTTTAAGAAAATCAACTTTGAAAAAAGGTACTAAGATTTTATAAAAAGTAAAAGTATTTACAATTCAAGAAATGAGTTAGGGGGCAGGGGACATATCCGAATGATAGCCCCGGTCATTTTTTTTGATAACTCAGACATGGTGTTTTGACGGTACTGGAAACAACTGCTATTTCTCTGTCATTGTAATTCTTTCTTGTTTGTGTGTAGTAAATGTATTTTTGGGTTTTTACCCGGAACTAAGCATTTTGGTAGCTTTGTATGTATTTGTGACTCTCCGAATGGAGGTATCAAGTTTTGACAGTTGGCGCCAAACAAGTATACTAAGAAATTTTGGATTAATTTTGTGAAAAATCTAAACGTATGACAGCCACTTTATTGGTCATTTTTGAAAATGCCATTGCTTGCACTGTGTGTTAGTGATATTGTTAAAGGAATCGGGCGGATTCTGAAGTATGCTGCACCTTCATAAAGATTGCCCATATTGGTATATTTTAGGTGTGATTTTGGCTGGTCGGGGTAAATATAATTTGCTGTCAGTCTTTTTTTATTTGTTTGGGTCGTCAGACCAAACAAACAATGGTAGCGAAATTTCAGACCCTGATGTTCTTATTTGCAAATACCGAAAGTAGTCCAAACTCCTCGAAGCGGTTACTTCCCTTCATATGTACATTAACGCCGAAAAATTAATGGGAGATCACTGCGTAAAGATTGTCAAATGACAGGCGCATTAATTTTCGTAACGAAAAAAGTTCTCGATTGGTTGAAGATTTCTAATATTGTGTTATTCTTATAGAAATACATGCTTATATTCAGCTCCATGATTATTTACTTTCTTGTTAAACAACAGGTTTACCGTGAACAAAATATATCGAAATTAATAGGGTTACAAACTCTAATTAAGAATAATATGGTATTCTTCAGCCTCTTCCCCGTGGTCGAGGGGTTTGGTTTACAAGCTCGCTAAAGAAGCGAGAGGTCCGCAGTTTAAAACCCAGTTCAGGCAATTCATGTTTTTTTGTTTGTTTTTTGTTTTTAATTGTTAAAGCCAAATAAACTTTTGATTGAATTAAATATCAGTTTTGCAATAATACTTATAGCCAATTTACTATAGTTATAACAATTATTTCAGGATTTTTTTAATAAGCCGCTTTAAAGCCGAAAATTACGGCTAAACTGAACGTCAAATGTTACACAAAATTGACAGTTTTCTTTCCGTTTTTTAAACATTTTTCGGCGTAAAACGACACATTTTATATCAGCTTAAAGGAAAAAACAATTAATTTCCGTTGGATGCTGTAGGAATTTAGGTATTTTGTCCGCCAATGGTGTTGTGATACCCGTAATAGTTGCCAAGGATACGCAACGACGTCTTGTTCAAAAACGGGCTTTGATGGTCAACTTTGACGTCGTGTGAACAAAAATTGGCTGAAACTATTGGAAAAAATCAACGGAATAAAATCAGAAATTTGGTCAACTTTCTGCATGCCAAGTTTCAAGACGCTACTCGAAAGTGTCGCGTTCTACCTTAAGGTTATCAGGTACATTTATTATCTACTAAACTTGTTTAAGTTCTTGTTGTTAGATTTATTAAGATAATAATTCTTTAGGTTATTTGCTGACAGGAAAAAATGAGGGAAGAAACAACAATATGAGTAGTATTATAGTGAACAAAAGACCTCACTAAGCCTGCTCTCATATCTAGAAAGCGTTTCAACTAAGCCAAATATATAACATAGTTGAAAGTTTAAGCAGTAATTTTTTTTTCAAAGCAAATACTTTCATAAAATTAAGTTTTTTAACTTGATACCGAGGCACTTGGTTTTGAAGGCTTCTTTAGTATTTTCACATAGATACATAACTTAAATTTTGTTCGCTTAAAAGAAAATACCTTGTACAAAAATATCTTGTATTTGCTGTTTATTTTAATTAAATACTGTTGGATAAAAAAAAGCCTTCCTAATTTGTGTCATATATTCTATAGTTTAAAAAAAAGCATTAGCTCTACCACTTAAAACAGCAGGCAGGGTATCATATCCAAAACATCACTACAGGATTAATGTATTTTATAAAGACTTGTTTCAGCGTATTTCTTTACATGCTGTACAGTTATGTAAGTTCATCGTTTAAGTATGGTATGTGTTTTCTCATGTCTTTTTCATTTTTTTAACACACTTTCCTATTGCAAATTATATTTAAGTATCAAAAGATAAAATGCAGATATAGCTTTTGCGTTTTGTTTTCGTTTCATATTTTTCTTTTTAAAACTTAACTTTACATTATTATTTACATAGTTACATAGGGATATAGCAACCTTTTAGAGATGATATCTTGCAATAAGCAATTATAAACCTTCAATGTTGTCAATATGGTACTTGCAAAACATGTTTGCTTTCTTTTACATATCTATATACGTTTTTAACTGATAGAGATAATTTATCTTATCAATCAAAATGATCATACAAGTAAAATGTTTCGAAGGTACATTGTACACATATTTTAAAAACGCCATTGCTAACAAACATTTTGTATAAGAAACGGTAATGCCCTCTTTTTCAAAATTTGCTCTCAACAAAATTATTCCATGAGTAAAATGTTACAACGAAAATGACAATGCGAGATACGGAAGTGTAGTCAACAACAACAAAACAACAACAACAACAAAATAAAACAACAAGAACAAAAAAATAAAACAACAAGAACAAAACATGTTGATCAATGTATGTTTTAGCAACATGAATACTCCTTTCGGAAGTCATTTTTTAGATGAAAAATTCCTAAAAATTATTAATTTTGATCAATTCAATTAAAATTTGGGGATAACATATTTGAATTATGTACTGCATTTATATTTTGGTATTACCAAACTTTGTTTAAAAGACATTACTTTTTAAATTTGAAACTCAACAACATAACATGAAGTTAGAAAATAAGCTAATGGTCTTTGTTTCTTTTGTCATTGAGTAAAATGCTATAGGGAAAATAGTTATATGAGATACGATACGAGGAGTGTTCTAATATGAATGCATTCAGAACGTTATATTGTTAAATATTGCGAAAAAACACAAGGAAATTAAGGTAGATATACTTAACAGCTTTACTTACAGCTTGCTATACATAGCCAACTCGTATACTGTATTTCAAAAACTGTTGATAAAAGATCAGAGTATGCCATTGAAACACAGTTCTTATGTTAAAAAAATCGGTGCTTCCTTGCCGCAGGGTGTAAATACCTTCTTGAGGAAATCCGTTCTGTAAAAGGGCAAAATCAGTGAAATCTATGAATAATTACACTTTACCTACTTAGATGCATTCATATTTAAACAGTCTTTATAGTGTAGCCATCGTAGATAAATACGTTTTAAAAACTAAACTTTACGACAGCAAATTAATGGAAATTATGTAACGATTTGCAAATATACTTCCTCTATACTGCTGCACGACAACAAAGACACAGTTTATGTGTAATTGGACAGTCTTAGTTTATTAACCCTTATTAATCTGGTGGCCAAATAAACATAGTAGCAACATGATTAGCAACCGATGAATTATTTACAATGAAAAAGTAATGATATCATACACATGTCAAATAGTCAAGGACAGAACTGTGTTCTGAAGTTTTCTTGTTTGAGGAGTAAACGTTGCTCACTTGATATGATTTCTTCCATAAGAAATTTTTGTCATGTGAGAAAATTGTAAGGTTAATACTTGCTATTACCTAAACCAAAGAGGGCTGTTTTTCGTATAAATTTAAAGAAAACACGTTATCCTACAACCTATATACCATTGACATTTTCCCGCAAAACGTAGACAAAATAATCAAACTTCAGTTTTTACGAATATTTGATGTTAACGGGCTATTAATATGAAATTTAAGAAGCCCATGTAATAAATTAAGTTTTTTTTGTTAACAATTCAGATATCCAAATAAGATGAATTTATGTTTTTCATAATAGTGGACAAATCAATGGTATATTTTACATATTTCTTATAACTGTAAAGAAAACGATTGAGAACTTTAAACTTGATACTTTTTACACCGGTTTGTACAGTTCATATTTCATGACGTACAAAAAAAATCTCGAACTAGAATGACAATTACAAATGCACTGATTTTTTTATACAAGTTAATTACTTTCTGTAGATCATTAAATCATAATGACTAGACCTATTCTCGAATATTTTTGTTTGTTAAATAATTCAACTTCAAAGATTCACAAAGTTGTCTTTAATATATATATTTTTTTTGTAATTGTGGAAAAAAAATGTACACGGTTGATCAAAGTACTTTTGGTATCATAAATTCACAAAATGCATGTTATATGAAGTTGATATGAGCAATGAAATATAATCCTTATTTATTTTATAAAATTCTAAAACTGTTAAATACTTTTGGAAGCACTTGTTACACTCCATAAAATTGTACTAAAGAAATACTCAAATTTTATCACAGAATCTAACAAAAGTTTATGTCAGGATCTTTATGACATTAAACAAGGTTTCGTAGACTATATAAGATTATCTTTCTTCCGAAGATCTAAAACGCATTCCTACTGCTGAAGAAAAACACTCGAAGATTTATACTTGGATATATCATTTAGTGATTTTGTTGTTGAAAGGACTATCACAGCTATGAAGGTCAGCGCTCTCCTCGTTGTCATGCTGGTTTTTGCAATGGTGATTGCTGCACCAGAGGTTGTTAGTGCTAAAGCTGCGTCAAATGATGGCAGTGACGACAAACCAAAGGGTAAGAATAACTTAAATTAATTCGCGCTAGCCTCTTATTGAAGTAATGCACGAAAGTTTGAAAATTAGAATTACATTCAGAGTTAAACTTGTGGAATTACATTAAAAAAACATTTTCAAATATCCAACAAATGAAATAACTATAATTAGGCTTAGTTAAAAGGGAGCTAAACTTCCGAGATACAAGGATGTCGTACAACTGTGCTATGTCATAATTATCAAGTTTTCCAAGTTTCATGTTTTTACCTTTCATGGTTTTAAAATCATTCTACTAAAGTAAGGCATAACTCCAAAACCATTGCTTTGTGTCTTGCCATGATCAAAAGTATTTCAACTATCGCGTTGATATCTTTTAACACATTTGAAAAATGAGCTAAATTAAAGGTTTTGTACGACGACGACGCAGCGATATGAAAAGCTAACATTTTTCATAGGGGCTAAAAATTAAAGAAGCATATGAAGCATTCAGAAAAAATAATAAAAGTAAAAAAGTTTATACAAGAAATAATTCAAGGATGAACTTTTTAAACTGCCAATTTTTAGAAAGAATTACTGCTTGGAACGTTTCATTTTAACTAGAAATTAAACAGATAACTTTTATTATCTCTCTGATATTTGTAAAGTTTGTTACTAGCCAGTCTTGTACCGTAAGATCATGGTTTTTCACCATAATAGTAGACCTGGCAGGCGCGCAACTGTATATTTTTCCTAAATGAGCAGTTAGTGAAGCTCGTATTTTATAAAAAGAACTGATTACTTTTCAACAATAAAATGCAAATATCAAATAAAGGTAAACTGTAAATCCTGTTAAAGGATCAGTTTAAGCGGCGTGAAGAATTCTTATTCATAATTGACAAAAACACTTACACATACCTGCTTTTTAAATCAATACGGAAATAAGCAATCTCCAGTTTAAAATAGCCGAAATACTAATATTTCATGTGATAAAATAAATCGTCCAATATGCCTGATTGACTTAGGCCAACAAGTCAAAATTCTTAATTTCATTATGTCACGGTTTATAAATAATATTTTGACATTAAAGAAAGCAGCTTTCCTTAAAGATATACTATGCTCAAATTTCATATTTGAAAATATTTATAATTGCTACACAGTCTCTTTGTAAATATAAAATAAACATGTTTTAATTTCACACAAAGTAGATATGTTGTGTTTAAAATTCTACACACTATAAGTGGTTACAATATGAATATATAGTGTCATTAAAAAAACTGGCAGTTTTTTTAAGAAAAGACCAAATTTACATGACCTGTAAAAGGGAACGCAGCTTCCAATACATAATTTATTCATTCTTTTATTTAAATTGGACATATTCGGTAAGAATAACATTGATTTCAATATTTTTTTGTGATAAAAAATATTTTACGCAAGGATGAGCATAGTATATCTTTGAATTATTTTCTTACATGTCCAAATGTCATTGATCATCAAAACCTTATTATTAGTAGAACCTGCGAAATCTTGAAAAATTTAACTTTTAATCTCAGCGTGTTTTACGTTAGTTTAACATTTGAAATAGTATAATCACTCATTCCGCGATTGTCCGGTCATAACAGTGGCGAATGGCTTTTTAATAGTCAGAACAGAACAGAACAGAATTTAGATTATTTACTTTTTATTATGTATGAGTTTGGATTCTATTTTCTTTTTTCTGTGTGTTACTAGACTTTTTTTGTTAAGAACATGTATATGTCACATGATAATGCATGTACATATATATAAACAAAGAATTAATACTGTAATTTTCTTTTCTTTCTCGCTAATCATATATTATTGTAATATCTGTTGAAACAAATATAACCTTGGCGAAATTAAAAGCATTATATAGATTTAGTATTGTATCGATACATTTCTGATTGAGTTAAATGACCTAAATACTCATTTTTTTAATCGCACAGGCATTGCACATTCACTGATATGCGACAAAATATTTTGCTCTTATCATCATTTATGCCAGACTTAACACGAAACCAAAAATAAATTAAACATTTGCCATAAATAAACACGCATTGAACAGTTGTTTTACCCACCGATTGATATATGAAATTACAATATCTATTCAAACACGGAATGAGCCAAGCTTGTTATTTTGTTTTTGCAAGGAATCGATTAAAATATCAAACCATTCAATGTGAAAGTATGTGACTGAGATATTTTAAATAATTCGAAATGAATGTACTGTATTTACTTTTCAGACGCAGTGAATGAGAAGGGCTCTAAGGAATCCGAAAAAGGAAACAATAATCCCAGTAAGTATAAATATAGATAAATCAAAACGAAATAATACAAAATAAAATAAATATCGCAATCAATTAAGTACCTACTAATTCAACATAATGTTTGAAAACCCCGGACACGCTTACATCTTTTCAATTAAAGCAAAGTTTAAAAGAGTAAATAATGTGGCAAAAGCTATTGGCAGAGTTCCTCGCACTTGAAGTGATTTTTCACGGTTTTTGAGAAAAATTAAATACTCATAAAGTGTATGAAGCTATATATCTGCTGTAAAAAGTATTGTTTTAATTTTGAAACAGAATACTTTCAAAATTCCTGCACAAAAGAAAAAAAAAGAAACATGATAGAATACTTCTTAAAAAACGAATGTCGAATGTACAAAAGCATTGCAATAAGATAAAACCCTTCTCAAAAGCAGCATTTCCTTAATTTAAGTATTTATGTGTGAAAAACATTCTATGTTAAAACTTTTTTTGAGAATCCACCATAATATTATAGAAATTATATAATTTTACCATTAATAAATTATATTTAAATGTTACATTAGATATACGGCTTTATACACTTAATCAAAAAGGAAACAATAAAGCAAGAAACTTTCTGGTATATTTGCCTTTTAGACATAAAATAATATTGAAGAGATATTCCAAGTTTAAAGTAAAAGCATAACTGATAATAAGATAAAAAAGTTACCTATTTTTCTAAAATGTATTTAATTTTGGACATAAGTAATCAAAAATTGATGTAATGTCTTTGATATTTTTTGAAAGAAATGAACCTTTCCAAAAAAGGGAACAAGAACAAAAAAAAAACAAAAAAAAACAACAAAAAATAGGAGCAAAACTTTCATTCTTTTAGAATTATCTATCCTCTTGATATTGTGTCACATTATTTAAGATAGATAGATACTTTATTAACTTAAACTTTTACAAGTTTTTCGTTATAACAAATAATATATGATACAAATTTACAATGACATGACAATGGCATACATATAGGAACATTGAAATTAGTGCATAACATAGTGGGAGAAAGTAAAAACACACAAACACACACACACACACACACGCACGCACGCACGCACGCACACATACACCAACACACACACTCACACACGCATGCCACGGTAAAAAATAATATTTATCACATGGAGAAGGAGGATGGGTATGTGAATACAGTTGCAATTCAGTTTATGAATACAAAAATTATACACAACCTAGATTTAGTAAAGTTCAATATGCAGATAATATTTACTAGTAGATGGTATAAATGATATGAAAAACTAAACAATTTGACTCGCTCTAACAGAAAAAGCTTTATACAAAAATTTACCGAGATTCTTTACTATTTTAAAATTCCTAGATTGCATCAATTCTACAAATTTGTACACACTTGGATGTCTGTAATAATAAGATTTTATAAAAGTCTTTCTTAATTCATCGTAAAACGGGCAAATGATTACAAAATGATATTCATCTTCTATATCGTTTTTGTTACAAAGTAAGCATTTTCTTTGATTGCGGTCTATTCTATTTGGCGCATATCGGCCTGTTTCAATTCTCAGTTTATGTGATGATAAACGGAGTCTGGATGTAGCAATTCTAAACTTTTTAGGTAAAATGTCTATATAAGATTCAAATTCAAAACTATTTTTAATATATCCATACGATACTTCACTGGTAGATAACTTACGTTCCCATTTTTGTTTAAAAACATCAGTTACTCTTCCTTTAAACAAAATATGAAATTTTTTCAAGTCAACTAAACCTTGATTGTACCATACATAGGAAAATCCGTATTCATCTAAAAGAGATTTAACATTATAAACCCAATTATGTTTATTATTCTTAATTTCAAGTAGACAATCATATAGTTTACTGATCAAGATATTTTCCGTCGATACAGTTTTGCACCAAAATTTAATAATTCTAACATATCTATTTATATACATTGGAAATCGACCTAACTCTCCATAAATACTATTTGTACATGTTGACGTTTTAACATTTAATAATTGTTTACAAAATTTTAAATGAACACGTTCTATTTCTTTCGATTTTCCAAAGCCCCATATTTCGCATCCGTAATTCAAGGTGGCGGCAACAAAAGCATCAAACAGTTGGCACATAACAGAGGGTTTAACGGCATAATGTTTCGTTTTATGTATTAAAACATTCAAAGTTTTTAATCCTTTACCTACTAATGTCGTCTGATTTAAAGAATAAGAGCCCGTGTAATTAAAAACAGTGCCTAGATAATTAAAGTTATTTACAGTTTCTATTAAACTACCTTTGTATGTCCATTTTTCGTTTGCATTTAACGGGCCTCGCTTTCTGAATACAACAATTTTTGTTTTATCAGTGTTGACTTCAAGCCCCCACTTATCACAATATTCATTTAGCAAATCAAGACTATGCTGTAATTCCACAGGACTTTTACCAAGTAAAACCATATCGTCAGCAAATAATAAAAGAATAAAAGTAATATCGTCAAGAGTTAAACCACACAACGGACTATCTTGTAAGAACAGTTCTAGGTCCTCTATAAAAAGAGAAAATAGTAGAGGCGACATTATCTCCCCTTGTTTCAAGCCCACAGCGCATGCAAAAAAGTCTGAGTAAGAGTTACAAGCCTTTACACATGTTTTAACATGTGAATACATACTTCTTAAAATTCGCAAAGCTTTGCCATCTATACCTAGCTTATATAATTTTAAAAATAAACCATTTAAATATACACTGTCAAAGGCACGCTTTAAATCAATAAAGCAACAATAAAGACGATTTTTATCATTTAAGATTTTTTGAACGATAGCATTAAGAACAAAAATTGCATCAGTAGTTGACCGACCTTGACGAAATCCGAATTGCGCATCACTCAATCTACTGTTATTTTCGGCCCAGCATGAAATTCGTTTATTCAAAATACCTGTAAAAATTTTTTATAAACAACTTACTAATGAACAGAACAGAACAGAATTTTTATTAACGTATACAATACATGTATCTTGTTAATACAACATCAAATTAAATACATACAATGATAAGATGATAAGCACGTGATAAGCAAACATGTTTTCAATGTTTCACAGAGAATGAACAAATTATCATAATTGAAATAACTTCAAAGTTGGTGTTTAAAGAACTAGCGCGTTCTGACAATCGTATGTGGTAATTTCATATATTTAAATATAACATAAATATAACATATTAAAAAGCATAACTTCGATGTAAACATGTCAAGATAATACTCACTTAAGGAAAAAAATAAGAATCTTGATGCATATACGATTTCAAATAATACTGTCTAGTCTAGTAAACTTTTTTATTTCAAACATTTATTAAATTCTTTGCATTAAATCATTTCTAATTTTATTGGCTGAGCTTATGTATTTACTCAGATTGATCAGAACGCCTTTATTATTTGACTGTAGCAATTCTAGAAATTTAAACATACTAGTATGAACATAATAATAACGTTTGATATATTTAATTCGCAATCCTTTATAAGCTTTGCATTTAAGTACAAAATAAAATTCATCTTCAATTGCGTTGATATCACATACGTTCCTGTCTTTCCAACCTATTGCGGCCATACCTGGCAGATTCAATTCTTAACTTATGAGCAGATATACGTAATTTCGTGAGACAAATTCTTGAAGATTTACAAGATAATACATTAAGGTAATTTTCCATACCGAAGCTAGTTTTAACATATGCATATAAAGTATTCAAAACATTATTGACAGCTATATCAGCAAACCATTTTTGTTTAAAACAATCTACAACCCTTTGTTTGAAAATCGGTATAAATGTTTTTGCTTCAAATCTTTGTGGACAATTCCAAACATCAGAAAATCCATATTCATTTAGCAAATTTTTAACAAGGTATGCCCAGTTTTTTGTACCATTTAAATTACACTGTTCTAGCGCATTTTGATAAATACCTTTTAAAATAATATTATCTGTATTCATTAACTTAAACCAATACTTAATGATATGAACATATCTGTTAACATATAATGGATAGCGCCCAAGCTCACCATAAATTGCAGAATTACATGCGCTCTGTTTTACTCCTAGTATAATTTTACAAAACTTAATGTAAACTAATGTAATCCCTCTATAATTACGAGCATCACAGGGATCGTTTTTCTTAAAAATAGGTATAATTATGCCCTCTGACCATTTATCTGGAAAGTGACCAGTATTTAAAATAATGTTGAAAAGATCTACTAAATGAGATGACAATATATCGATACATGATATAAAGTATTCGTTTAAAAGCATATCATTCCCAAAAGCTTTATTCCTTTTCAAATTTTTAACAACAGACAATAATTCTTCTACAGTTATTGTACTATCTAGTTCATTCAAAGCATCCCTCCTGGCCAAAATCATGATTATTTAAAAAATTCTCTGCTTCCTCAGTTTCAAATTGTGATATTTCACTTTGAAGAGACGAAAAATAGTTGAAAATCCCTATTTGTTAAATTGCCACTGATATTACCTTTTGATTTACAATTGAATAATCTCCAAAAATCTCTTGGCTTTGAGTGTCTAAGATTTTGTAATTGGGTAATTTTATTTACTTCATACTGTCTACGTTTTTCTTTTTATCAAACTTTTATAAACAGCCTTATTATTTAACATATGTATTCTATTTTCCTCCGTTTTTGATATATTATACATATTTACAGCATTTAAAATAACATATTTAGCATTATGACAGTCATGATCGAACCAGTCAGCCTTTTTAAAAATTGTATTGTGCCCTTTGCGCGTGACTCGCGAGACACGTTTACAAAACAGTGGTTCAGCTACTTTATTAATAATATCAGTGAAAGACTGAACACAACTATTTACGTCATCAGCGCTTGAAATGTCAGAATTTTAAAATTAAATCGTTTAATTCATTTAACTGGCCAATAATACCGCGTCTAAAGTCGGATTTTAAATCATCATTCCATTGTATCCTGACTGATTCATTTTCATCAGTATGATCAGGAGATATATGATTACATATTATTGTGAAGGATAACGGACAATGGTCCGACCATTCATTAAAAGGCTGAACGGTAAAATCATCAATACATTCAAAATTATTTTCATTCAATAATAGATAGTCAATCGTACTTGACCCGAGACTGTTTGCATATGTAAATGAACCGTTTGCGTCATTTCCTAACCTTCCATTGGCTAAACGTAAATTACACATCAAACACAGATCGATAAGTTTTAAACCCATTGCATTAATTGTATTATCAATATAATTACGTGGACAAGAGAAATCTGGTGAATAATCGACGTCATCTATGAAATCTACATAACGGTCATTTTCTATAAAATCTTTCTTCGAGCCTACTCGTGCATTCCAGTCTCCGGCCAAGAACAGTTTACCCAATGATTGATACATATTAATATCATTTTGTAATAAATCAAACAAATTTACATTGACAACATTATATGCAGGGGAATTCTCTACCCATATATATACACCTGCAATAAATACATCAGTATCAAAGTTGAAAAAGTGTTTATCTAATTTAAACCATAAAATAGTGTCATGATGGTTCTGTATTATTTTTACACCTTTACAAATTGAGTCTATAATATAAACAACCGTGCCTCCGCTGCATCTTTTCGCGCGACGGTGCTGGAACTTCCTATAAAAATTGAAACATTTATATCCTGGGATATCTAAAGAGGAATATTCATTAGTCCAGCTTTCAAATAAAAATATAATGTCAAATTCATAAATCTTATCAGTAAAGTCCGGGTCTTCGAGTTTGGCACGGGTTAAACCGTTAATATTCCATGATAAAATTTTTACCCCAGCCTCCGCAGATTGCTTATGACCATTATCATCATCACGAACAAGTCTGCCGTTTATATATAATTTATCATAGGTGATATATATAGTGAACGAGTAGTTTTAAGTAAGTCAGTAATAGTTTCCAAGTTAATGGATCTTTAAAAAGGGATCAACTAAAGCCAATGAGAGGGTCATGACAATAACTTCTATGTTTTCTTCGAAAAGTGAAACTATTAAAAACGAAATTTTTTGAAAAAGTCATGTCCTATGCTGGGGATGTTGTCTTCTAAATAATCACTTTCTGGTCAAGTCAAGGATACTATTGTAATTTGTATAAAACAAACATGAATCATCTTGGTAATCTCCTCATTGCTTCAAAATGCCACAATAATTTAGATTGTATAATATTGTTGAAGTGATTTAAAGTATCATTCCTAGGCTTATTCTTTAAAAACAGATTGTTAAACGAAAATCAGGTTTTAACCAGTCGCAGTTTTTTTTCGGACAGCATACTGGATTGACTTTTATTGGGCTGGGTTAACTTGAGCTGTATAGCTTTGACCCGAGTTGACTTGTTACCGGAAACTCACCATGTTCTATATACATGCTTTTTATACTGTTAAGTATGGTATATACATCTGTCAACTATTATCAGTTACAAACTTGAGATTTTCTGTAATAAATGTTTTATTTTTCAGAGGATCAAAGATCCCGTATTGGCTATTTCTAGGTAAGAGGGTTTTTTATTTGCTACAAAGCAAAATACTACTTTATGCATTGCTTATTATTACTAGATAGTACATTTCCCCTAAACTCACATTTTTTAGACTTTTTTTATTTTCGTCATTTTATTCTAATTTATTGATCTGTCATTTGTGAATACAATACATTAAAACATTCATTTAAATATTCGATCCCACTTCGGTTTTGTCCGTCTTGTCTACGCGAGAATCAATGTTGAGTATATAACTTATATTTTGAAAGTCACAACAGCTTTGTGACGGACGTCAGTTAGGTGATTGTCTGTTGTCTGTAGTCTACTGGTCTGTATTTCTAACCCAACTTATGCCAATGTTTTTATAGATACTATGTCTTTATTTCGGCAGTAAATCTTTATGGAAACGGCTGATTGTTCGAATAAATGTGTACTTGGAACTGAAGCAACTTAGAAACATTGTGTTGTCTCGATTTGTACTATCCTTTACGGCATTGAACTGGCATTTATTGATTTTTATCCGAAGGAATTTTAAATATTAATTTTTACAACCACGTTGTTTAAAGAGAGTATATAGGGGCGTCCGTGGCCGAGTGGTTAAGGTCGTTGACTTCAAACCACTTGCCCATCACCGCTGTGGGTTCGAATCCCGACAGGGACTTTGGATTATTTCATGTGAGGCAGCTAACCAGCTAGCTTACGGAACGTCGGTGGTTCTACTCAGGTGCCCGTTCGTGCCTGAAATAATGCACGGAAAGGCACCTGAGGTCTTCCTCCACCAGTAAAGCTGGAACGTCGCGATATGGCCTATACTGTGTCAATGTGACGTAAAACCCAAAACAAAACAAAAAAAGAGAGTATAGACTTTACCAAAATAAGTGCAAAATATATTTAAACAAAACTTAGATAATGATAAAAATATAAAAAGAAAAACATGGACCTACGCGGTCTCAATCTTATCATAAGACAGGGCTCTTAGAAATAATAAACTCGAAGTTTACCCTATTGCTCTATATAACGGTCTGTACAATAACTTCATCAGTACAAATTTATTTAAATCACATCTTACTTTTAACATCTCATGGAACATACCGACAATTTATCTTGTGTGCATTGACCATTTAATTAGTATGCATTTGACAGATTAATAAAATCAAACAATACGAAATAACGTTTCGTAATAAAAAAATGACATAAAATAGAGATGATATTTCTTAAGAAGTAAAATAAAGCAGTAATTTTTTTATACCATTAAAGGCTCTTTTTATTCCATGTTAAATGCAAAGTTATTTTGTTATCATTATTACGAGAAATGTTTTCGTATTTACGAAATACTTTATAGTTTTTAGGAAATGTCATTTCATTTTTAACTTGACTATTCGAAGAATATGGAGAGCTATTGTACTTATTAGGCACCGGTGTTAGTTTAGTTTTGCATGCAAATTGGTATCTTTAAAAGTACTGTAGGGCTTCACACAATTACTTGAGAACATAATAGAGAGACTTATTCAGGCCAATTACTCTAGCGTGAACATTTGATAAAATTATGGTTTTGCATGCAAATACAATCCTTAAAAATAACAAGACTTAAATGGTACATCTTGATCATAATTGAAGGTCTCTTTACAAGCCTAATAACATACCTCTGCCGATAACTTTGACCTTTTCAGGGAAATGGAATTTCTCTCCAAAGTCTCACAACTATGTCATGTATTTTTAAATGAAATCTTCATTAATGTAAATGCATTTGTTAACAAGGCTCTTGGCTAATAATCAAGCCTTGGGAATTGTTAACCGTGCTGTCCTACTGAAGTTTTTGTTACGAAATGCTTTTTCATGTAAATAACATACATGTATTTCACTTGACCGCCATATGAATTTCTCAGTTGAGCATCGATAAAAATTAAAATGTAATTCTAAACAGTTATATACTGAAATAAAACTCAAAACCTTTTTTTGGAAGAAAATTAACGGTTATTCTACATTCCTGACTTTTCTTTTGGTACATCCACTTTTTGCATCGAATTTTCATGCAGTGTTGTCGAGATATTCTTTTCATTCAAAATATGCAAGTTGTATGAAGAAAATGTCACCAACTTGACTAAAAATATGTATACGTATTACGGGACCCTACCACCAAACGATGCTAAACATTCAACCAAACCCTTTTTGAAACACGTCTTGAGTGTTTGCTCAATATGAAATAATTGCTGGTCAAAATTCCAGTCGAACTTCATATGTTCGGAGGAGATCTTTAGGTTATTGAGTAAAACGTCTACAAAACAACGCATCATTAAAAACAATCAAAAGGAAAACTTGAAGGTGTATTATGCCCCAGAAACGAATAAATTTTGACTTCTCTAGAAAGGAAAAACATAAATAAATAAAATAATAAATAATGTTTTTAGAGCATGTACGATGCTTGGTGTCTGAAGAAAGTAGCACTTAATGTAAATTTATTTGTCGTAAGTAGTATTTTGTCTTCCGTACAAAATATTTATTCACTACATATGTACTAATTGCCAAAATACATCAGTGGAAAAAGACGGTTAATGTAATTTGCCAAGTACACCAACAATAAAGAAGCTTTTGAAAAATCAAAAATAAAGGCATTTCTCGGGCATAATGGGTCTTTGAAGGTTTTGTAGCTTTGACTGAAAGAAAACATTAATGCGTTTGATTATCAAATATCACTAAACCAACAGGCTAACTATCTTATGCTTGCACTAGAAACACTAAACATACAGAGTATGTCAATTGTTGTCGGACAGCGAATACATCATTTCTGATCACATCTCATTTACTATTTAGGTTTCTATTGGACTATTATTCCGAATGTTTGGTAATTTATTTATATTTGCATAGTTTTACTTATCTCGTATGCACTGTCCATGAGAGAGGGGTCAATTATTGAATGGAAGAAAAATGCTTAAACCAATTCCTGCTTAGTAAGAAAATAATTATTATTCCGAGGCAAAGCAATTGTTGAAAACAATACTTTAAAAACTTGTAATGTGACATGACAGTAGTGCAATATTGTTCTGTTTATGCCACTAAGATGATAATAATGATTTAAACATGCACATTTTCTTGTTCAACTATAATGATACTCATTAACAACTAATCATGGTTAGAAATATCAAAGTCCATATGTAAATAACTCCAAACAACAACTTTTTACTATTTTATAAAATGCCCGTTGCATGTTTCGCGGTAAATAGTGTTTCACCTTATATGTTTAATGTTTATGCTAAAAAGCACAAATTGTAAAACCTCAAGTGAAGTATTCTCAATATCTGTACCTTAATAATATATATCAGTTTATTTCAAAACACAAAAACATGTAGAAATCGCTGAATGTTTTGAGCACAAACGATTTGTCCTTTTGGAAATTTTTGGCAGAATTTATAAGAAAAGTTTAAAATGGTATAAGACTACTAATAAAATGCATATACTATCATTTATTAAGCTCAAACACATATTTGTTTTTATCAAAGTTAAATAAATTTAACTTTTCACCGCGCCTCCGCTAATAAGCGACCCCGCCAAGCGAAAGTCGAAAATAAACAAGTTAAAATGGCGGGGCGCGGAGCAAAAACACGCATAATAGCAGGGGACGTCGGCGAAATTTAATAAAACACTTCGCCCTGCGGGCGCGGAGCGCCATTTAACAAATAAAAATGGCCGGGATGCGGGGCGAAAACTCGCTAATGAGCGTGGAGGGGGGCGCGGGCCGAAGTTTGTTAAAATGGCGGGGTCGCGGGACAAACAACCACCATACAATATAATTGACATTTATATATTATGTCTCATAACTACAGAGCCCCTAAAATGACATTTTCCACACTTTTCCCGGGACTTAAATTGTTTTTTTTACGAAAAATTGATTTGTTTTTACGAAATATCAATTCGTTTTTACGAAATAATAATTCGTTTTAACGAAATATTAATTCGCTTTTACGAAATATTATTTCGCTTTGCGAAGTAATAATTATTTAATACGAAATATTTATTCGTAATCACGAAATATTAATTTTCATTCAAGTTGTCATCTATTCTTATTTCATGTTTCAAGTCAATGTCTTAAATAGTTATCAAGTTATGTTCTGGACAAAAAAATTGTAAAATTAAATAATGGGACATAATTAAAAAACGGACTATATATAGTTATGGTTCTAGGACACTTGCCATCTATTCATATTTCAAATTTTTAGTCAATCTGTAAAGTAGACAAAAATGTACGACGGAAGGACAGAAGAGCGGAGGGGTGGCTGGACAGGGTATAAAACCATATCCCTCGCCGATTTTCGGCGGATTATAATACGGGGTTAACCATTGACAACTTTTGTACGATATGATGAGGCAACATGCTAATCAGGTCCCAGATTTTATTGTATTAAATTGTTTGAACTTAAGTACATTGTGACCTTGACCTTCAACCTACTGATCTCAGTATCTGAAGGGGTTTTCTAGTAACCATGAACAATAACATATCTACATACAGTAATGAGGACAGCATTCAATATATGTACTTAAGTTGGCCTAACGTAGAATTTGAGTTGATGGTCCTTCTCAATCTAAACGGGTCATCTACATGCGTGGATCAACCTTGTCACCAAATATAAGGATTATAAGCCAAATGGTTTCAAAGTAATTATATTTGAATGAACAGGGTTTTTAATTGAGAAGTCATTCTCAATCCCAAATATCCTCTTTTCCCCTTTTTAAAATTATATTCCCAACAGCTAGCACACACACACACACACACACACACACACACACACACGCACACGCACACACACACAATAAATAAAAAAAAAATAAAAGTGAAAAAAAAAAATTAAAAAAATTAAAAAATGAGACAATATTTTCTGGGGCTATATTATAACTTTCTTTTATCATTCAAATAAGTAAAACAAAAAGGGGTCGGCCTCAAAATTTTCACTTAAAGGATACCGTGCGACCATAAAACATGATATTTTGTTTCAAACTTAATAAAATCGACAAAACGAAACAGAAATCATTTATGCCCGTGTCTGGAATGAATCCATGGACCTCAATTGTGACAAAATTTTTCCGTAGCCTGTTCTTTCACAGGTATCATGACAACTTTATCAGTAGGCAACTATTTTAAGTTATATACAGTATCGTTAAGTTATTAGATTTAAGAACAAAAAACCCAAACTATTTATACTGTATTTATCCGACTTTTATTTTGACAGAAGCATTCTTTATAAATATTAACAAAACTCTTAAATATGAAAATTTTCTTTTTTTTCAGCCCCTTAAAACCCATCGGTAAGGTAGCTTTTTGATATTTGAAAATTTCTCAGTTTCACTTAATGTCACATAATTTTCACAAATTTAAACCATGCGCCTTTTCCCAAAAAATAGCCGGAAAAGGCTCTGCATGTTTTAAAATCAAGGTCATTGTGACCTTGACCTTTGACAAATGACCAAAAATATTGAGGGGTAATCTACTGTTTCCCTCTTCTCTCACTTAATATAAATACAATAAAAATGTCAACGGTTTAAAGTTTATAAGCCGACATTATGATTCCATTTAATGACAGTATTTATTTCGATAGAAACGAAATTTAAATTCGTATATACGAATTAATATTTCATAATAAGGAAATAATATTTCGAATTAACAAAATAATATATCGGTTTTAGGAATTAATACATGTTAAGTACCATTCTGTCAACATATCATTTTAAAATTAGTTCTTACCTACAAAAAGTTCATGTACCTATAAAAGCTTATGGTCTAATATGATAAATATGTTGGTAAAACGAGGAATTATCGATATCTTATGCTACAATACGAATACATTAGGAAGATATGTTCATGTACATAAAGAAAGATACTGAGAAATAACTTTTTGATAAGGTTTTGGATAATGTTTCGATAAAAAAATATATGTATTATTTTAAAACTTATTCATAATGCATACAAAATTGTTGTATAAAGGTAAAATTCTGTTTTATTTAAAGGTGTTCGAAGGAAACCTATAAAGATTTAATTAAATTCAGTTAACTGTATGTTACAAACTTAATTTCTAGATAAAGTAAATTTGGCTTGTTCAAGGTACTTATCCTCAGAGAAAAAATATTAATTATCTCCCACAGGCGCGGAGCTATTTATGTTTGCTATTTGTTTTGTCCTTTGACCTGTTTTTGATCATTTACTCCTTTCGATTTATTACTATTGGAAACTAGACTTCCTATCAAAATGGTTACCGGTGTTACTGATAAAACGTACATCTCATACTGCAGAGATAACGGTCATCAAATGTAGTAAAAGGATTCGCCACATATCCATTCGCTGCAGTTTGACTGGAACAACAACTCGATGATTTTACAAGTGCTTTATTTCACTGGGGTTTAATCTGTGAATTCATTTTCATATCATTTAATGACTTTTATTTTATGTAAACAATTTATAGTTAAATCATTACATATTTGAAAACAATATTTCGGTTTCAGGTATAGCAAGAGCAAAAACACAATTAATTGCCATGATTTATAAAAGCATAAAGTATATAATACATATTAATGTTTGAAATTATTTTTTGTCGAATAATATTGCAGTATTTCAAATGAATCGTAGCACATTTACTTCGGTAAATGGACAAAATTTTAATCAGGCTAGTAAATCAACTGTTTAAAACACTAAGCCGGTTAAAGTTTATTAGTACGCATTTACAAAGATAAATTGGTCGCGCAGCTGCGCCACGCCTGACCATATTTTTGCAAATGCGGTCTAATAAACTTTAACCTATACTAAGTGCATATGCTGATACAACGTGCTTTATTCTTAAAGAACTAAAACTTTTTCTTTTAGAAGGGCTCTTTTTTTAGAAATGAGGAAACTCTAAATAATCTATAATTTCATCATTATGAAAAATGTTTTCCAATAAATAATTTTTAAGAAACAAATAATAAATAATAGCACTTAGGTTATAAATCACACGAGCAAAATGTTTCAACACAATACATATATGCCGTTTTCAAAATATCCCTAAAATTTACCAAAATGAGGCTTTGTTTTCAAAGTTTGCCTACATTCTCTTAAAAGTTTATCGGTTGATCTTGCAAAATATAAAATACTTTTAGCATGTAGTGTTTAATTTAGTAGACTTTGAAAATATCAGGTACCATGTTTGCTTATAACATTTTTGCTAATAATTTTGGCATTATTTAGCCAATAAATACCAAAACAATTATACAATAAAAATCAAACACTTTTTTCTTCTAAAAAGGGATCTGAGCGATATAGAAATAATGTTAGAGGAAAAAAAAAATAAAAAAAAATTGCCCCTTTTGGGGTTTGAGCCAACGCCCCTCAGTTTCATTGCAGTTAACAGTAATTATAGTCTATTTGAAGACTCTTCAAAGCGGAGAAAAATGCAGTGGGGGATTTTACATTAATAAAATAATGATACACGTCAGAATGAAACATAAATTGCTTAATTAGAAGTGATCTGTTACTTGATTGATGATTATATATCATGCACCTATGGATCTCCTCAGTACATATAGAGCATAGATGGACTGTTGACCGGCGATGAGTCAAATCGCTGAGGGTTTATTTCAATGTTGAGCACCGTTCGGTGATAAGATTTCATTAAGACTGTATTTTGTCCGTTTAGTGACACTTCCCACCAGAATCCGCGAAGGAAGGTATACCAGTCCGAAGACTGCATAAAATCCGAATAAAAAAACGGATAAATATACAGAAAAGTCATAAGGATATAATTACCCTTCGATTTTCTTACAAAAAAACCCTTTAAATTTCACACATGCTGCAAACTTACCTTGTGCTTAATCTATTATTTCTTTCACATAGGCATCAAAGTGCAAATTCACATATATTTTTGCAGATGCTCAATTTTGAAATCCAAACGAGGTTCATCCCCTTGGCCTTGCATCGATAACTATTTTGACTTTATACTTTTTTGATATATTACAAACAAACTTGTTTTACACATATATTTATTGTGAAATATCTTACACTTGAACATGAAATCGTTATTTAAGTGTGTACACTAACAGCATGCATGTTACATTTTTTTCAGAGAGACAAGAACCAAAGGATTAAACTGACTAAACTGGACACTGAATTAACATTTTCTTCCAAATAAAATATAATACAATAAAATGCATATTGCAGTATGTTTTTCGTTTTTTCTATCTGCTTATTTACAAGATACAAGTAATGGATACAGTATGAGTTTGTCTACAAAAGGATTTTCTTACAGACGTTTTATAAGTAGACAGCTTATAGATTTAAGAGTATTCAAATTTGCCTCTTTGAAAACGAAGCATACGAGAGTTCTTTTAGCAGCTTTGGAAGATTTGATTAATTTTTCAAATGACGGGAAAGTAAGAATTTCTGATTCAGTCTACGAAGTTAAAGGAGCAGCGAAACTTCGGTACACGGTTCCTCGGTCATATTATAGTGCTTGGTGATATTGTAGCTATAGTCTTTACTGTTAATATTTTTCGAAACATCAAACAGTAAAACGCTATTCAAAAGTAGTAATCAATTTATACATTTTAAAGGAATAGAATAGAATGAACCACTGTTCGACGTAAATGATATTTTCCATTTTTCCTTTTACCAATTTGTTCACCTCGATGTTAATTTTACGTTTAATTTCAATCGTACATTGAAGTGGATCATGAGCATTACAATATTTGGTGAATGCTTCTAATGATTTATGGTTTTAACATTTTACCTCATAAAGACGTGTTTGACGGCTTTTTGCCCCCCTTTTTGAGGCCTCAAACAGAGAAAAATACCTTATTTAGACCCCAAAACACTGTTTTCCTTTTGCGAAATGTTGTTTAAGAAGTTATCGCTTTTAAGGCGCCGCCCCAAATCAAAATGGTACACCAAGGGGTTGCCAGAAGGGGAAAGTGCCCCTTTGCACATACATTAGTGACACTTATTTAGAGTATTTAAGACCATTCCAAGCCTTTATATTATATCAAGCCTGGCAGCCTATCATCATTTAGAAGATGAAGAATATAAAAGTAATGAAAAATTTGGAAATTTCTTACAATTATTGGATTACAGGAATACTGGTTTGGGATTCTTATATTTCAAAGATTTATGCATCTGTAATGAAGGGTTTAAACTTTATCTGATGTAATGCCTTTGGTTTCGTCCATATCGATATCATACTTTGATGGCTAAATGTCTTTCGAGCTCGCTGTGCACTTATTTGTTTAAATCAACATTAAGAATAAATTAGGGGAAAAGATCAATAGAAAAAGGGATTGTTATGGATAATTATATTTTAGTTTGTAAAATTAATATTTTTCTGTACATTTTTATTAAAATACGGGAAGACACAGACACTTAATTACACTTTATAATCACCTTTTTTACAGAACATCAAAATGTCATCTTGATATGAATATGTACCATATTCATGTATATTGTATATGGGGTATGATAGGGATTGATAAAGCACCGGACTGGTGCAAATTTTTCAGTCGTCAACAGCTTCACTTCCTTAATCAAAAAAAATTGAAAATTATAGCGAAATTATTGTCTTCAAGTAATAAAGATAGTTCGCCAGTCTGTGCGCGTCATCACTCCTCATAAACAAGTAACATTATGAACAGAATAAATCATTTTGGCCGCTCAACAAATGAAAATAATATACATCTATTAACCGTAATCCTTTGGAATGCTATAAATTATATTATACTATCAGGAAGCTAGATTATCTTACAAACTTATTCTCATATGATATATCTCATTTGTTCAGTATGATCATGTCGATGATAAGTGTTGACAAACAAGCAATAAAATCATTTTGAAATTATATTTTGCTTAATAACAGTTCAACAGTGCAAATAAGAATACGGTGGGAAATATATACAGGAAATTAAGTGACATTTGTTATTCATTATGATCACATCCAAGGATTTCTATCAAAGGCAAAACCCCTTCTTATGGGATCAACCACGCTAACATACTCAAAATGTACGTTCTACAAGTTAAGAAAATTAAGCATTCTTTAATATAGTGTACATCGAAACGTACCTTAAAACATTTTATTTATTTTTCGCATATTTTAAAAGAAATATGCAAACAGATGTCCTTACTATAATCATGAAATTACGAGATAGATATTACATGTACCCCGAAGGCCGTCTGTTTTCGGTTGGACTTCCTGTAAATTTTAAATGGAAGAACTGAATATATGTACAAGTATTAACATTTCCAATAATGCTTGTAATCGCAGTTCAGGATTAGCATATATAGAAATATTTTTCATTTCTTGCCTAATACCCTTTTCATCCGCATTCAAATATAGTCTGGATGCAGTGAAAATTATATTTGGTAATTTCACTGTGTTTATGAAGCAAATGAAATATATTGACTCCCTATTGACACAGATATATCTTTATTTAGCTCCATGCTATTGGTCAGCAAGCTGATAAGCCCGACCTAAATTCACCTGGCATCACATCACCTCTATGTAGTATCATTAATAAAAAGATTTAGAAACCGAACAACTGCGTTGTTTAATCTCTCTACTCGTGCTGCCCAGTAACTATAATATAGCAAACATTACAGTTTTGCACAAGAAAAGCATTGATGCAAAGCATCAAAGGGCGTACATGCATGAAATTCAGCAGTGAAGATGAACAAGTAGACATCTGATGACCAGATATTCTTATAAACTTTTCAATGCTTAATTGTTTTTACCAGAATTGTATAATATTTATGAATGGGCCGACGAAAGACATTGTTCATCATGAACTTTGGTAGGCATGCTAGAGATTAGAATATTATTTTTGTATAGGAACTTGAACTTCTATCAATATTAACGATACTATTCAAAATATACAGGTCTATAATATCCAAAGTGCATATTAAGTGTTTGAGTATGTTTCATTTTTCATATTTCATTCCCTGCAAAATTCTCCAGTTCGTTATTTATAACTATAGCGCTACACGAATGACCGTTTCGTTAAACTAAAACGACTTCTTTACATAGATTTTCGGACTTTCACAATGTTAAGGTCATCATTCTATTTATAGGTACAGCAATACAAAATAACCCACTGTGTGTACTATAAAAAGGATTATAAAAAACACCGAAGAGCGCGATTAATTGACGGATAAGATAATTTCATTTATATATGTTTGCATTGCGAAATTCTCCAGTTCGCTATTCATTGTTCGCGACATTTCATTTCTGATAATCAAGCAGTCTCATACCATTCGGAATGATTGGCTATTATGACCGACGAAATGGCCCGAGAAGTTGCTGCCGCCCTTTTACAAAATCTGATTTCATTCTATAAGGGGCGTCGCGCTTCGGCGCGGACGCCAATAACAACAATAATATTATCTCACCATATCATCATCATCCTTAAAAAATAATCTAAATCATCAACATAAATTCTGTCTTCGTCATTATAATATCTTATGTAAATAAGAAATGAATCACGTGTTTTCCGAGATTGGAAAAGTTACATATTTTTAAAGATGCTAGTTATATCGAATAACAAAATTCACTATTCCTGAACTATGTTCATTGTAAAAATGTAGATTTAGAAAAAAGTCTGCTTCATCACCAGGATCGTAAATTTCACCGTTAAACCACTTTCTAAATGCACCGTTTTACCTCTTTTAAACAGAAGACGCTCATTAATATAAATAAATAAATAAAAGAAAACTAACAATGATAATAATAATAATTGTCCGCATCATTACTCGTCATTGACTTGTGATATCTTAATAATGATGCGATTTTTTTGTGTTTTGTTTTTCAGATTACATTTTCTTGCATATCAGACTGGCGTTTCCGTGAGTTTTACCCATGCCGGAAATTTCATCTGGCATGAGGGTTCCAGATGAGTCGCGTGCTGTACAATGGCACGGTTAGGATGACGTCATTTTACCGTTACATATTATGAAGTTGTAATTCATACACTGTTGTAAGAAAGTAGTTACGGTTGTAATGATATAAATTACATTGAAAATAAAGATCAAGAATTTAATATAAAATGGAATATGGTAGAATATGCAAGAAACATATCTGACATATGTTTGCGGTTCGGATGGGAATATCCGTCCCTCGGTCACCCGCCCATGGCGGTAACTCGGCAAGCCTCGTTACCGCCCAATGGGCGGGTCACATCGGGACGGATATTCCGATCCGAACCACAAAATATGACATATATTATTATTCTTGTATTATATTGTTGAATCTTTAAATTACATCAAAGAACATAGTAAAATGACTATCAATATGTAAAATAACCCGTTCTAACAAAGAAAAATAAAAATGAATGTCAAAATATATAAATTTAAGATATTAAGCTGATATTCTCAACATTCCTGTACGATAGCTTGACCAGGGGCGTTGCTAGCGTAACGCACTTATGTGCGTAACATTTATCGAAAATACATATGTAGTTAAATTATCAGCAAAACAATTGCAAAGGCATACACGCCGCTTCATTAGTTGGCTTCATCGTCTACAAGACCACGGATGCGCAAACAATGGAGCAAATGGCTTTTGTTCCTAAGTTCAGATAATCTTTATGTTCTTTAGAAATATGCATTGTATATCTCTTCACGTTTCAACGCATTTAAAGACTGAAAGTAAATATGCTTAGATCATCGTCAACTTCATGAAAAACATATCCATACAAAATAACGTATCATATATAACACACATGACGTCGCTTATTCTCCATTTTAACCAAATTTTCATCGCCAAGAAAATGTGCTAAGACTAAGACTACGAATGAGACTTTTGGTGCGTCAATGAGAAGAAACCTCCTCTTTTGGGTACCTCTACGTTGTGAGGATGAGTAACATATGTCCGTTATGGGGGTGCGCTGTTTTGCGCCTGTATGACGGACATATGGCCAACACCTTGACTGCCTGTTTGCTGTGGGCAGCGTCCCGTAACCTAGAAAAGAGGGTCCTGGTAGTTGAAGGATACCCAGGGATCTCCAGTACTCCTAACACACTGCTTTGGCCTCTGATTTAGGGCAGACGGGTGACCAAGTGAGCCCGGCTTGTTGGCCAATCGGCTGGTCATGCCTTGCCCTTGGATATATTTCTCAAATCTTTTAAGATTTCATTGAACTTACACGGTCCCGAAAAGAATACAATTCAATGCACATAAATTATC